AGGATAGCCTCTAACCTTCCTACTTCAAGTATGCTTCTTTTCTTGCATACACAACACCGTGTGTAGAGACACCCGCAGGTAACTGTTTTCAGAGGAAATAATCAAGTGCTTCAACACACAACACCAGGAGATAGTGATGGGATGGGACCCCACTACACTAGTTCCTGCTCTGCTCTTGCTTTACCTCTTACAGTGTTTTCTTGCACCATAACAGTTCCTGAAGCCCGAGGAACTGTTCTGTGAGAGCTGAAGTCTACCACTGACCATCACATGATTCCCATTCTAGAATCCCCGGGGTTAATAATATACAACCAGATAGCAACGGTCTTCTGTGTCTTCCTTCACAAAAGCAAAAATAAACTGCATGGTGGTTGATATTTTGCACAAAAATAAGAACATGGCTTACTTTTATGTTGTGTTAACGAAGTCGACTGACGAGAAATTTCAAAAAGATATTCCTAGGTAAGCAAAACCGATTCTATTTGCTGAAACAGTAAATAGTTATTGCTGAACTCGCTGCCTAATCTTTTTTCATGACTGCTGTTGCTGGTACAATGGAACTCCTCCACTTAAAAACAGTTAGATGGTTAAATTTAAACAAAGATGGGAGAATCGTGGACTCTATAGGTGACTACCTTGGCAAGAATGCTTTTTTGCTGCAATCTCTCATTCCATTTGGCAATTTTCCACTTCCCACAATGTAAGTGCCATGGTTTCATGTACACAAAGTGATATTTTTTTAATTGATCACTCATGCTTTCCTAGCCATATGCCTATCATCAGGATGTGTGCACTTTCATACAATTCGCTGTTCCCATTTGGCAGTTCAGTGCCTTTTATTGTGCCAATCAACATGCAAAACATTATAATCCATCCAGAGTATACAAAGGCAAATGTGTGTTATCTAAAATTCTGGGATAAAAAGCACATTATCTGAAGACAGCTTGATTTTTCCTACAGTCCAACTCTACCAGCACAATGGCTTCTAGAACCACCAGAATCGGTGAATAAAATTCTTGAAACCTTGTATCATTCTCAGGTTTTTCAAGGAGTAAATTATACCTGTGCCCTTAATTAAAGGGATCAGTAGCCATGATTAGAAATGGCTAGAAATAAAAACAAAATGATAGTGACAAATATCGTAAAATAGGTTTTGTAACAAGACTCATCCATAAGCCACTATGATTACTCCTGCTTTTTATATTCCTTAAGAAGTAATTTGCAGAAAAAGACTTTGTCTTTAATCTAATATTGTGTTTGTTTTAATAGTGAAGTAATTATATCCATAGGCTTTGATGATAACCATTATTCATCATAAAAAAGTTCAGTGATTATCGACTTATCAGCATACATGTGGTTTTTTTTTTTTTCTATTGCTTTTCACTATCCTAACTCATATTTTACTTTTCCCTTGGCCCAAGGATAGATAAAAGAAATAAAATGAAATTCAAGTTGATTTCACAGGCAATAAACATGCACTATGAATTTGAAACGTATTATGCTCATTGAGCATATATTTTAGGACTTAAAGACACTTTGTGACTAAAACCGTAATCTGGAACCTTTCACTTCTTGGTTTTAAAATCCTGTATGGTTTCATGAAATAGTCACTTAAACACATCACACACACACACACACACCCAAATTTACAGATTCTAAATCTTACAATTTAGATAAAAGACATCTTTTCAGTTGGATAAACAGCCAAATGTCATTAATACTTTATGTGAGTATATAGAGAATAGAAGAAACAAGGAAAAAACCAGATTCAACTAATTCCTGGAATCACAGACTTCTGTAAATTTTTATATGCTCTTACTTTGATTTTTAACCATAGGACAGTACGTACTAAGAGATTGGTCCAACCTAACATGGAATAAGACTGGATTCTCAATGTGCCATTATCTTCAGCTATAACAAGTCCTCTTCCACACCTTGGGTCCTTTAGGACTGTGGGTCTCAGTTGTACTGACCTGTCTGAGCTGCTCACATCAGTGAGGGACACCATATCAAATGAGGAATAACATATTAGGGGTTTCCAACTTGTACATACACACAACTACAGCCAGAAGAGTGAGCATAGCAATTAGGTGTGTCTGAATCACGTCTAAAACGAACACCGTAAGACTGCCTATTTGACACACATATCTGGCCTACCAGTAGTCATGTGTTAACTTGCATTAAGAATCAGCACATTAGAGCTATGTAATTTATAGAATTATAAACTTGTAACTATATGAGAAAACATAGGCATAACCACATCCTGGACCAACGTATTAGAAGCTACTTGTTTTGAAAACCTTAAACTTTCAAAGCTGGATGACATGTTATTCCTTCTGCTAGAAAGACGAATATATGGCTTGCTATGATTCATGTATGTGCAACTGTAGGGAACCTAGAGTGGAATTATAACCAAAGCTCTCCTTTATTCCCGCACCCGGCTATATTTAGTGCACAGACAGTTGGGAAACTCTAATACCTGGAATAGCTCAGGTACTAGTTCTACTCCACAGTGACATCCTCGATAGCCATGAGAAATAGAAGGGCATCCGTATTGATGATAATGACCATCACACACTTCCACCTGGAGAACAGGTGCTGTGGTATCTTCTATTGGAAACCAGTATGTATATAAGCAGAGCGATGAGGGGATGCATGAACCGAATGGTTTAGTTTAGATAGATTAAATAGTTTTATACTGAGGAATCTCTTCTTACATTGCATAATTGTCCAACAAATATAATTAACTTGAAGGGCTACTCTGGTTGGTTTCCAGCGGCATGAATGTAGCACAGTTCACTATCACTTTTAGACTCCTGGGGCACAGATGCCTACTCATCCATGTTTTCTACTCTTAGGAATACCATTCTGCTTGTATCAACATAAAACCTCTTACCTTATACAATCAATTTGATTTCAACACTTACAAAAACAAACGTTTTGAAATGCATGTTATGAAGTGCATTTTCACTTACCTTTTCTGCCGACTGAGCGGTGCCAAAAAATATTGGAATGAAGGCAAGCCATACTATACACGTCGTGTACATAGTGAATCCAATGGGTTTGGCTTCATTAAAATTCTCTGGTACGCCCCGAGTCTTGATAGCATACACAGTACATGTGACCATAAGAAGAATGCTGTATCCCAAGGAGCAAATGATTTGGAGATCTGTAATGTCACATTTGAGAACTCCTCTGGCTAGGTCAGGGTTCATTGTCTTATGTTCGTCATAGTCTATGATGATGTTGGGTGGATCAACACCAAACCAAATGAAAACACCTAGCAGCTGAACGGATATTAAACTGGAAGTGATCGCCAGCTGTGATGTTGGACTTATGAGTCTGGGAGCTGTCACTGATTTCTTGCCTTGCTCAAATATACGGTAAATTCGATTGGTTTTCGTCAAGAGGGCCGCATAACTGATACACATCCCCAAGCCCAGGAACACTCGCCGGAAAGAACACACCGCCACATCAGGTTTGGCTATCATTAGGAACGTGATGATGTAGCAAAGAAAGATACCTGTCAACAGAACGTAGCTGAGTTCCCTTCCAGACGCCCGGACGATGGGTGTGTCATTGTAGCGAATGAAAGTGGCCATGACAAAGATGGTGGCGATGATCCCCAGCATGGCCAGGAAGACAGGAATGACGGCCCAGGGGGAGTGCCACTCTAGTTTGATGATAGGGATATCCTGGCAGCCAGTTCGATTTTCATTGGGCCGCTGGTCGTAAGGGCAATGCTGGCATGTCATCTCATCAAACTGGTACTGGTAACCATCGCAAGGCTCACAAGTCCAGCAGCATGGAGTTCCCTTCTGTGTCTTCTTTCTTTGCCCAGGCTTGCACGGCAGTGTGCACACTGAGGCGGGGATCTCCCGGACTCCTTTACCCCACTGCATGTCCTCTATCTGCAGTGTGAAAAAATAAAGTGAAATGGGCAGATTACTTATTACTTAAGTAATAAAGGAGCTAACATTTGAGGCTTGATGAGGTTACAAAGCTTACTCTCAGCTAGTAAGAGTGACAACCAGGCCCTAACCTCACATCACCTTCTTAAAACTCCATTGGCATTACTGTCATTTTCACCGAAAATTTTTGAAACAACGTTGAAACTACTCTATTACTTACCACAAAGGAGCAATATACTCATTACTGAAGCCTTTAATTACACTAGATGATATCCTCCGAGTTCAGAAAACATTTGATAAGAAAATAATATGATCTGGAAACCTTTCAAGACTACCTACCCAACTAGGTGGAGATGAAATGTAAACCAAACCATTCTAATTAGATACTGATTTTCTGGAAGGGAATGCAGACCCAGAATATGCATTTCCAGTAAGATCCCAGGTGGTACTGCTGGGGCTTGATTAGGAGCCACCTTTGTCTACTGTTGATACGTTCCAACTTTATAGTCAAATAGACTTGGGTCAGGAATGGTATCACTATTTCCAAGGCCATGAAATTTAATTTCATGATTTTTACTGTGATTAAACAAGATAAAAATTACTATATTTTCTGGACTTACAGTTTCCAGAATGTAAGACTTTCAATGATTATGGCTATAAGATCAATGATAATGGCTATAAGAATGGAAAAGCGTGACAGAAACTGGCCAACACAGAGGAAAGCCCAGCAGAACGTTGAAGAGAAAGATAACTGGTGAATCTGTTTATCCTCCTGCATACAACTATGCCTGAAGTCATCTTCCTCTAGACTGTACCATTAAGCCACTATATTCACCTATGCCGGAATGTTTTTGTTTTTTGGGGGGGTGGGTGGGTAGAGGTTTTCACTATAGGGCACGGGCGCTCACCAGAAAGACACAGAGAGACAGAGAGATAGAAAGCGAGAAATCACCCCCCAGGGGGATGGCCATGCCGCAATCCCTTCTCCTCCATTCTCCTCTTGGGATCTTGGGCATGCACGCACACGCGCCCAGTGTGAGTTTAAGCCACCAGGTCCGGTACTTGAACCACAGTCGACCACATGGGAGTCCAGTGACGTAGCCATTATGCTAACTGCTGGTCCTGCTGGAATGTTTTAAAGTGCTTTTTTGGAACTGAAAGTCAAGAAACACATCCATGCAATAAATGGCCTTAGTATCTACAAGTGGCAAAAGATGTATTAAATCAGTAAGTTATTTTATAGACTATATTTCAGCAAACAAATACAGCTTATCTCTCCCATACCTAGTTACATAGCTAACTACATCTTTAATATTATACAGTGGGACAAAAAATTATTGAGTTGTTGGAAAAGCCATCATGTATTTCTTTTATGTAAAAATGTGTCAGGACATGACTTTTCTGACAACTCAATAGATTATAAAGATATGGAAAAGCCTGAGCCTTTTTTTTCCTTTTTTTTTTTTTTTTTTTTTGCTAGTGGATGCATGTACTCATCAGAGAGAGGCAGAGAGAAGAGGACAAAGCACCCCCTCCATCCCATGGGGAATGGTCATGCCACTATGCCTTCTCCTCTATCTATCCTTTCAGGATTTTGGGCACACATGCAAATATCCATAGAGTGTTTCTCAATCTATGTCTAGGACTTGAACTGCACTGTGGCCATGTGAATTCCAGCTGCCTGAACCATCATGCCATGTAGTTAGCCTGAGACAGTATTATTTACATGCACACTTTTAAGAAATAAAAAGGAAGAAATAATAATTTATTGCTCATTGGAATGTCAGTGCTGTGTTAATAGAGGAGCCAAAAAATAGTGAGGAGTAATGCTTCCATCAATACTTGAAAGGGAATTACATTCAAAATCTGAATTGAATGTCGCTAACTCTGGGGGAAAAAAAAAAAAATGGTTCACAGGCTGTAACTTTCTAATGGTTCGATTTCACCCTTACCCAGAGACCCAAGACTTCTCAGATAATTCCCTGTGAACTCATTTGCCTGAGCACAAAACCCAAGTCGGCATTAATAAATCTAACTCAATATAAAACATAATCATTTCTCTCTCAACATCATCATTTTTGAGGCAGCAAGTCACTGGCAGCCATCCCAAAGTCATAAAATTAAGGAAATAACTTGTAATAAGAGATCTCAAACAATCTGTGTTAACTTCACAAATACCAATTCCAAAAATGTAGGAACCTGAAAATTTGCTATTATTAATATAAATATTTCCAAGTGTCAAATTAAAAGACCTTACTCATGGTTACCAGGACAAATTTACACACACAAAACAAACGATAAATAAATTCCATTAGCTGAACTGGAGATTGCTGTTTCAACACTAGTGAATACTGATGTGTTGTAGGATTAAACTTGATCTATGAGAATGAACGCAGGGCTCATACAAATATAAAAACAAATTATCATTATATGTAATATTTTATAACCAATTTTGAATGTTACCAGCTCACTATTTTTTCCCCATTGGAATAAAATAAAATAAAATGCCTGGCAATGCTGAAAAGTTCTTTTTTCCCCGCCTCAAGTTTTCCAAATATATACAAGAACTATAACCACAAACATTACATTGACTGATTACTTAATTTGTTTTCGATTTTCATTTAAAGTAGATTTCAATTCAATTTAATTGTATATATTAAACCAACGAAGTTGTCTCTTGCTCCAAATGAACCAAATTATAATTTACTCGCTTTGCCAACAAAAATCATTACTGAAAATACAATGTGTCCCATGAAGTTACTATTGGGGTTCAAAACACAATACCCCAGAGATTGACACTTTGATATGTAGAACTAACGAAGCAGCCTCAAAACCAAACTCTCTCTGGGATCTTCTCCTCACTCCCTTTCTGTGGCCCAACCTAAAGCAAGGAACTTTACTCTGATATTCCATGGCCAGTTTAAAGACTGGACCTGCCTAGGGGAAAGTAAATGCCTTTGCTCCTCCTCCCTGAGCTTCATTGACTAAACTCATAGTGTAGGAAGGAAGATTGAGGAATGTCAATACATTCCGGGCAGATTTTCCTACCTATTGTGGTCTCCCAGGCCCATTCAGCTCCCAAAGAGAGTAATTTGCTCATGAATGTCTGAGCAGTGGGCTCCTTTTTTTCCCCTACAAATGATATACTCTAAGATTATTTAGAATAGGGCCAACTCTGTGGCTAGTGCTTAGGGGAGTCGATCCCAACTGACTACTGCACAGTTCAAGTCCCAGAAATGGTGGCTTGAAAAACACAATGGGGGAACCAACAGATGGCATAATGGTTATGTTACTGGACTCCCATGTAGTCGACTGTGGTCTGAGTTCCAGATCCCATGGCTGAAACTCATGATGGGCACAAGTGCATGTGTGACCAAAATCCCAAGAGACGAATGGAGGAGAAGGGATTGAGGTATGGCCATCCCCTTTAGGGAGTGATTTCTCACTTTCTGTCTCTCTGGTGAACATAGGTGCCCTATAGCCAAAATCTCTCTCTCTTTTAAAAAAAAAGAAAGAGAGAAAGAAAGAAGCAAACAAAAAAACACACCAAATATGTATGTGTGCCCAAAATTCCAAAAGGAAGGGTAGGTGAAGGGTTTTCAGAATGACCATGCTCAAGGGGGGGGCTTCTTTCTCCTCCCTCTGCCTCTGTCTACTAAGCATGTGTACTGTCTGGTAATCAATAAATCAGTTTTAAAAAATGACTTAAAGGAAGTGATTTCCATCTCCCTTTGTCCTCTCTCCTATACAAAAGCCTCAACCATCTGGCCGCTCTTGGAGTTCATATTTACTATGGTTCCCATGTACATATGTACATGATAAATATAATGTGTGTGCCTTTTCTCTTATTAATATGCCTATCATCCATGATTTTAAGAGAACCCTCAAAAGCGAAGAGAAAAATTCCTTCATTCCCTACAGTACCAACGAACCTTTAAAAGCGTCAGGGAGTGAGAATTTCACTAAAGCGATGCACACCATACCTGTGTATTTACACACAGACACAGACTTTGCTTCATAAAAAGAAACCATCAGCTGCAAGTGCCCATGGACATCCATTTAAGGGAAGATGATCATTCAGGGCTATGAAAATTCAAGTGTAATGCTAATTTACTTTGCCAGAGGCTGTTAGAAATGCACATTTCAAGTTTCTTCTGAATGGCAACACAGCTGTTTCTCTAGGCTGGACAGCAAATTTAAGGTGCAGGAAAAAATAGAAAAAAAAAAGACTGATGTTTACAGTCCCCATTAGAAGATGCTGGCTTACTATCAGTTACAAGAGAACTTTCTATCTAGTGCCACTAATTAATTCTATACATGAACACGGCTCGTATGGATAGGTTGATGAATGGTTTCAGAAAGAGCAAATTATGCAGTGTGGCCACTGAAAGCCAGAATTAACCAGGCACGGAGTTCTAGGAAAGTGTTCTTCATTCTTAAAAAAGAAACACAATGAAGGAATGTGATGTCTTTGGACTTTGAATTTGGATGTGTGCAAACAACATGCTTTAAAGCTGCAGTAACCATTTTGTGACTATGAACAGATAAAGCTAAGGAACAAATCCCATATTCTGAAGATGGCAAAAGAAAGTCAGGTAAGGGATCAGCAGATGGCGTAACGGCTACGTTGCTGGACTTCCATGTAGCCAACCGCAGTTTGAGTCCCGGACCCGGTGGCTTAAACTCACGCAGGGCATGTGTGTGTGCGTGCCCAAGATCCCGAGAGGAGAATGGAGAAGAAGGGATTGCAGCGTGGCCATCCCCCCTAGGGGGTGATTTCTCGCTTTCTGTCTCTCTGTCTCTCTCTGTCTTTCTGGTGAGTGTACACGTCCTATAGCAAAAACCTCTCAAAAAAAAAAAAGTCAGATTTTTAAAAAAATGTGCCATTGAGGGCATAATTATGTCATTCAATTAATTAACAGTGGTGTCATTCTACCCCAGACTTTGAACAGGAAAGGATAAAGTTTCCTTAATGACTGACTAATTCTTTGTGGCAGTCC